GAGAGAAATCACTTGTGCTTTCAAGCAGTTTTGTGACTTGACCCCAAGGCCACTCCTGCTTCTTTTCTGGGGCTGCTAACTTGGTACAAGAGACCTGCAGATGCTTCCAGGACAGGCAGCAGTGGCATCGATTTCATTCACAAAACCCAGCCTGAGCTTTCAGCCTATGCCCTCCAGGCCGCCGCAGTCTCAGGCCTGCGCCTGCCAAAGGCCTCATGGCACTGGCCCTGSCCGTCCTTCCCGCCCTGCCAGCACCAGCAGAGGGAGCCTGTCCTCTCCAGGAGAAAACCCTGCAGAAATGGCTTCAATGTCATTTATTTAAAGCAGGGCTGCAGGCAGCCGTGAGGCCTGCGTCAGCCGCGCCGGGCACCATGGTGGGAGCGCAGCGGGGCACGGCGGCCACCACGCAGCAGCGGGGTTGGCACCTGCCCTGTCCTGTGCTGTGACACCCGAGCTGTGGCACGGCGGGCAGGAAACCATCCTGCACGAAGGTTCATTGAAGCACTGGAGTGCCAAGTGCTTTGCCAAAACTGAGGCACTGCCTGTGCTGGCCAGGAAATGGCCACTCCTTGTCCTGCTGATCTGTTCCTCACTTCTTTCTCCTAATAAAATAACAATAGGACTATCATTTCCCAATGCCCATCTTTTCCCTCAGAGAAACGCAGGCTTTGACAGAGGCCAGGCGTGAGCCAGAACATCAACAAAAAGCCGGGTCTCGCACTCACGCTCACTTTGACCCCACATCAATAGGACTGACACCCCTACTGCAGTACTGCACTACCCTGCTGCAGCRGGCACCTGTGAGCGGACCAGGTAGCCATGGGGTGGCCAAGGGCTTGGATGAGACATGGAGCAGGGCCAGAACAGAAACTAGGCTTGCAAACTGAGCCCCAGGCTCTCCTACACTGCTAGAGTGTTTAAGCTAGCAAGAGTCTGCTCTTTAGTCCAGGATTCAGCTGGAAACAAAACTGAGCCATTTCTGAGGCTCAAGTGGGTGTGAGTAACTTTTTCATTTTCCTGCCCTCATGTGTTGTTTTTTCTTTTTTGGTACCTCAGGAATAGTGGGATCCATTTGGGTTAGGAAGCAGCATTGCCAGAATACTCTGAGAAAAGAAGACTGTGAGTTATTTCTGGCCCAAGCAGGAGCTGGAAGTATCTGACATCTTCCAGTGCCCGGAAGGCTTGTTCCCATGAGAACTGCAGCTTCACCCCGCACTCTTGGCAGGTTCGGGCTTCGGGGTCCAGAGAAGCCCTCGACAGCCAAACACAACAGGAACTACCACGCGAGTGTACAGAGGTTCCCACCTAGCTAGGGAAGACCTCAGCTGTGTGCATCTCTTGAGCTAGCAGAGCTCCTGGACACCCCGTCTCRTTGCAGCAACGCCTGCTACTTCTGGGAGCCTCTCCCCCACCTTGTCTCCTGCTCCCCCGTTCTGTCACTGTTCTTGGGATTTCTTTTTTTATATATTATTTTTCGGACAAAGCACATGCAGATGTTGTGTTGTCTTCCACAATCAAGGGGCTCAGGTGGGTAATGGGGAATGGCAGAACTTGGCATGTACTTGTTTGCCTTAGTGCAATTTTCCCGTAATTGCACTTCCTAGGTTTTTAGCATCTGCGAAAGATCAGCTTGTGACACAGCAAAATCGGCCTCACACTTTTCTGGAGTTTGCACCAGCATGGGAATCAGGCATCCCTCTTTTGGCTTAAATCATTTTAGAAGGGCAAGAATAGACTCACCTCATTTTTGTGCATAGTCAATAGTGTCTGGGTTTTAAAGCCTGATGTAGTCTGTAAAAAATATTTAGCTCATTTCTTTCTTGTTTTTCCTTTTTTTTYCAAGATATTGATAAATGTCACACTCATTCTTTTTATTTGCTCCRGTCTTGAGGTGATTTCATTGAGAATTGGACAAATGAGAGCCACAGACACAACAAAGTCCAAGCATGAGGCACTAAATGCAGAGGTGCAAAGCAAAGAACAGGTAAGATTATATGGATGGGCAGTTCTAATGTGACAGGTGACTCTTACCTCTCTGTAGGTGACTCTTACCTCTCTGTATAACCTCCACTTCTTCAGACATAAACAGATGCAACAATGACAGCAATAGATAAATTGTGAGGCAAGAAATAACTGTAGGTCTAAAATGACTGACCTCCTTCTTCCCAAGGCAGAGGCCAGAACTAGGCAGCAGAGCACCAGGGAGCTAAGGGTGACACAAAGCAGTCCYTGCCTCAGAGAGGCTGCAATCGCAGTGATTGGAAACAGAAAACTAACTGTGGAGGGATAGAGGGGGAAAAATACCTTCTGCTCAGACAATCTAGCGAACAGCTAGGGATCATGCTCTGTTACTTATCAAGGGAGGCAGGTTCAGGTATTGGAACAAGCTCCTATTCTTGCATCTTTCCCTGTATTTTTAAGATTCCTTCAAGCTGCAGCATTAAATTGAACTGCCTGAATAAATACCATTCTGAAATTAAAGCTGTTTCCAAACAAATGAGAGAGCAAGGTTTAATTTCTTGAAATTTTCAAGTTTGGGATGATCCTCTAGCACATGTTCTGAAGCAGTACTGTATTTTTCCATAGATTCTGAAGCACTTTTTCCCTTATCCACTTGTCTTTCTTTACCCTGGACACTCTTAGAGGGCAGTTTAGGTTCCTTCTTGTTTTCAGATAACTAAATCCCTTATTTTGTCAGTGGGATTTTCCAGGTCAGACAAGTCACCTATTTTGCTCCACTATTTTAAACAATAGGTTTTGTCCATTTGTAATCAAATTTTAAAGGATACCAGCAGCTTAATCTAGGCTCAGAATAAAGCCTTCTCATAAAATGGAAAATAGGAGGACTCAAACAAAGCTGGTTGTCTTGCACTGTTTTTATTGATGTTGCTTTTTCTCTCAACATTGGGGCTGGATCTGAGCAATTCCAGTAGTGCTGGAGACCCAGACAAAACAATTCCTAGCTAGGGACAAGAACTGTGTTAAGCTGCCAGGAAAGGAGTTGAGTTCACCACACCACCCAGACAAAGTAAAATGAACAAAATAAACTTAGAGAAGAAACACTGGAAGTTTTAATTAGTCTGTGCTCAGAAGGTGTTTTGTTTGTTTCCAGTTTCTGTTGTTGGTTTGGTTTTCCATGAAAGACTGTAGCAAAATAGACACCTTTGAATTATATGTCAATGCCTGCTGTGATGCTAATAAGGCTCACACTGAGTTTTGGACTCACGCACATACCTACACTCTCAAAAAAACATGAGCGTGCAGTTTGCTGTAGCTCTTGCAAGTGAAGCAAAAACTTAAACTAACACTGCCTTATTCTGAATTATGTCAAATAATTGGAGCTAAATCTCTTTCCAGTTTAGTTGTACTCCAGACCTGCAAARTTATACCCAAACCACTGCTTCATCCAAATATTCTTCCTGTCCTATGGTAGCAGGAAGCAATCTTAACAGAGCTGCCTAGGCTAATACTGAGCATCTGAAAATGCCTAAAGAATGATCCTGCAATCCTTTCTAAATCCTGCTCTTGCAGGAGAGGTGCACAGGGAGTTAACTCTTCATTTGCAAGGGAAGAGACAAATTCCCTAGACCTGCTACAGCACAAAACCCAGGCACACTGTCTCCAGCTCGGATTGGGCTACAGGTACAATACTGATGGAAGAAAAGGAAGTAAAACTGGAATATGCTGAATYTTTCTCCCTTGCCAACCCACCAGCAATAACTGACTCAACACAAGGCACAATAAGTGCACCTCTGCCCCTGGATACTAATTTTATACCGTGACGGATTGTTAGTCAGTGATCCCAAATGGCACGCACCCTGCCTAAAGGAGCTTATGAATCCACATTGATAGAGGACATACAGGAAAGTCAACCACTTCTCCAACTGCAGCAGGAGAATTTATCAATATGAGTCAACAGAAGAAAGTTAAGGAAAAGGACCGAATTTTAGAGGGATAAAAAAAAATGGTGTACTTGACACATGAAGCAAGGTGCTGACAAACTGAAAAAATAGGTAATACTGGAAAACAAGAGCAGCAAGAGGTGGGGTTTTCACATGAACAGATCTCTGAGGGATCAAGGAGGCATTGGAAGGGTTAATATTGTCCTCCATATGGAATAGGAGATGCTGTCAATGCCATTGAGGTCCAGGAATATGTGCTGAACCTCRACCCTGTGAATCTTGACCCAAGCAAAGGTAGTGGGAGTTCTCTAGGTGATTTGAAAATGGGCAGGATCTTGGTATCAGCAAAAAAGGAAAGAAGAGATGTTTGCTTCTCACTTTGGGTCTGAATTTCAGGAAAGTCTTTCAAATGGCCTGGCAGAAAAATCACAGATCAAAACAGCCTTTGATTTTGAAGAGAAGGTCCTCTGGYCAAGACCTATCTCCCTTCAGATCATGCTCATCTCTACCTTAAACCAAATTCCTATCCAACTGCTTCACAGTCACATGACAATTAAAGGCACTCTGTTTATTTTCTGATGCAGCTTGTAGTGATTTTGTCTTCTTGTTCAGCTAAAGGTTTGGAGTAGGTGAAGAGTATTATGAGTTTGCCACATCCTGCATGCTTTCCTACCTAGATATTGTAAATTATGTGTGCAACAGAGCCTGTTACTGTGCAGTAACATGGAGGAAATCCCTATAATCTACATCTTAATGCATCATGTTTTGCAGCCCAGCTCCATAGGTAGATATGTTTTTGCCTTTCTTACTGACTTTCCAAAAACAGCCCTCATACATAATACAGATTTTATAAGCAGGGTGGTAATCACTTCAAATCACCCCACAGATTCTCACTAAGCTGCTCTGTCTGAACCCCAGCACTTCCCAAGGACAATAAGAAAGTGGGCTGTCACTTTAATCTGATTCCTTCAAGCCCTTTCTACAAATTGATTTGCTCTGTGTCAGCCAGCCAAGAGTCACCTGGAAGCAATATCTTGTAAAACTACCTCCTTAAGAGCTACAGCTACTCACTTTGATAGTCCCCAAATTGCTTTTTATTCCCTCTCTTTTATTTTTCATGGGATCAGTAAATAGTAAATTGGTCCCCAGTAATCTACTGGAAGGAGCCAAAAGGAATTCATGAATATTATCCTGTTCCAGAAGATTGGTTATCTGCTACTGAGCTCAGGTGAGGGCCCACAGGGCTACCACCTACTGTAAGGGGAAAAAAATTGGCTTTTTCCTCAGGCTCCTTGATAGGTGGCAGAGCTCCCAGCTATCTGATCATTGTTGGGTACCTGAGATTTCAGCCAAGGAATTTATTCTCCTAGAGGTAGGCTACCTCCAAAGGGAAATGATGCTGATGGCACCAGACAGCTTCCCTCTTCTTTATGTCTGCCTTGGGGAATAAGGGAAATGAGATCTCATCTGGTCACATGCAGTTTTAGACTTCTTTCTTGGAATTAATGTCATGCAAGCCCAAGTTTTTGCACTGAGGGAACAAGCCCATAGAAAGGGCGGAGATGACCGTATGTTGAGYGGGAACCAGAGGAATGCAGTTTGGCCAGGGTGACAGGAGTTCAGGCTGTAGGTTCTTTGTATAAAAAATACAAAGTGAAAGTCTTGCTGGCTCCAAAAAAATGAAGCCCATCCTGTGGAAATTCAAAGATGGGTTGGGAGCAAGGGGATGAAAGGAGGTATGATTTCCTGGAAGGTGAGATCTGGCAGTCCTTGGAAGGAAGAGATGGCACAAGGTGCGTCTCTGAAGTGACAGCTTAATGGCAGGCCATGAAACAGGCCAGATACAGCAACAAATTTGGGAGTCTGGTTTTGTACGTATGTACACAAACCTGAAGGAAATATGCATACTGCCCAAGACCTCTCTCCTAGACAGGAATACCAGGAATACTGGCTATCCCAGGCTTTTTCCATCCTTTCCTAGACTGTGTTTTTGTGATCTGTTTCCCTGCCACTGGAAATTTACTATAAATACCAGGTACTGAGCAGCCTTTGTGTACTAATATCTTCTAACCACCCTTTCTAGCTGCCCAGGGCTGTAAATGATGTGAAAATTGCATATCCCAATCCCAGGCCTTAGTAGCTATTCAGGGGTTTGGCCACATGTCGTTTGTTATTCTTGACTTATGCATACATTCTTCTTATTTATTTTTCGTAAACATTTGTGCATAAATGTGTCCAGAGTTTCCAGTGATTTTTCCCTGGCTTGCAGATGTGGTCAGAGTGCGTTCAGGAAATATTTTTTTTTTTTTTTTAATTTTTTGACTGCTTCAAAATGGGATCCTAAGAGATTCCAATCGGCTGCTTCCATCTCAGTTCTTATGATACTCAGTTACCCATGGCAAGAGACAATTAGCTTTTCAAATATAAACGGTCCCAAGCCACAGATTTCGCATCCAGATCCAAATTTGGGGTAGTTCAGATTTGTCCTGACATTTTGGGTTTGGGCCCAGGCCTGACTCTCCCTGTGAAGCAGTTTGACATTTCCAGTTCTGGGAAGCTCTCCTCCCCAGGAGTGAGGCAAGGCATGTTATTCTGCCGCTCCCCAGGACAAAGCCAGCCCCAGGGACCGGTCCTTTGCTGCTGAAAGCTCTCTAGATGATCTGACTTGTTCAAAAGCACCGTTCTGTCATTAATGCAGCTACTTCAATGGCTGCAGTGAYAGGCCCACAACTCTCATGATGTTGCTACGACTTTCTGGTTGCTCCAAGTGATAAAAATTAGAAGAAATGTGCTTTTTGAGGTTATGTGTTATCCACTCGGAAATACTGGCAATAAATGATAAAAGGGTCTTGGGAATTCAGATTAAATCTATGGCAATCACTCTGCAGCTCAGACCTCACAATCATTCTTTTACATGGTTATCACATTGTGTTCAGAGGGCAAGATGGAGATCCAGGTTTCATGGGTAAAAGGAGTAAAAACTCCTGTCTTTACTGCCTGTTTACTGTGCAGTCTTCTCCAGGGCAGGCAGGGTCTCCTACTGTGTTAGCACAATGCAAAGCTGTGTTAGTAAAATGCAATGCAGTGTAATTAGCTTTTGTTCACTGCTAGAAATAATGAGCGGAGCTATAGTTCATGTTTGATGAACTGAAGTATGTTTGCATGGAGACTATTGTGCTTCTGACCTCCTCTTTCACTGGTTGAGTGCCTGATGTTTGTTTTGTGGACTACATTTTGTATGTGAATTTTCTGTGGATTCGGATATGACTTTATTCTCTCTCTCTTTTTATTCATAAAGCTCCACCTCTCTTCAGACACAGTGTAAGCAGTTCATCAGTAGAAATGGATTCTCCTATCTGAGAGCTGAGTTTGGCTTTTAATTTATCTTTGGTCCAAATGCAACACACAAACACTGTTTCTGAAGTTTAATAATTTGTTTTACAGGCATTTTTGATGGATACACCATCACATTCATGTTATAGCTCATCTTAAAGTTCTAAAAGGAACTAAAGGTTCTAAAAGCTCTAAAAAGAGCTCACATGGGTCAAGTCTGGGACACARTAAGTTGAAAATCATCCTACAAAGGAAGATATCTTTTGAGTGTTAAATTTCTTTGTTTCTCTTTGTACCTGTTAATCGAGAACCACTTTACAATTGTCAATGTGTTTATCTCTATAATCTTTCTGTGACGTACTTACTGTAACCTCTGAGGGGAAGAACCCAAAGCACAGGGAGATGAGACCATGAGCTCAGAATGAYACAGGACTATTTATGGTGAAGCTGAGAAAACAGCTCGGAGCTCCTCTATCCTCTTGCTCCTTCTCCATGAGATCATCCTTCCTTTGATATGCACACCATTCACAGACACTGCAGTTGTATGAGGAGATCACAGAAGGATCCCTGCAAATATTTAGCGTAATTTTCACATCAACTTTTAGAACATCCTTTTWAGAGAAAATGCCTGCAGCAGTGACACTCCAGTGAGCTTGATGGAATGATGCTGGCTTTACAGCTGGCTCAGAATTGGCTCTTAATGTCTGAAAGCATTCATTAAACAAGATTCATAGAGAGCTGTGTCATATGTACATTTTATCTATAAAGAGAGATTTTTATAGACCAAGTGCTGAGGAGCCTCATGAGATTATGAAATAATCCAAGCGGAAGCACTTGGAAACCTATTTCTTGGGATGGAGAACCAATCTGGAAAAATGCCGTGGAGACAAGACTCTGGGGATTGGCCCTCCCTTGGCTCCTGGTGATGGATCAAGCTGTTTTTTTCCATCCATATTTTCTCCTATGAAATATAGCTGTTGAGATCCAAGGCAAGAAGTGCCAGGGAGCCTGAGGAGAGGGAAGGTACCACCTGTGCTCAATCCCAGTTGTTTCGTCAGTTCCTCGCAGCCCACTTGTAAGCCAAGGTGACACACATGAGTTAATTTCCATGGTATACTGGGGCTAATTGGAAACAGCTCCCGGGCCCTGTAAAACATTAAGCTAGACTGCAAGTGATAATTGCTCACCTGCTGCATGGGCCTATAAGAGGCAGTGCATTAACTAGCTCATGGGGTTTTATCACTTCCCTGGGACAGTGGGGGCTGGATTCTCTCCAGCACCCATAGCATTGGATGTTAGATGCTAGGTTAGACCTGTGGTTTGCAGGCACTGAGGCAGGGAGAGSAAGCACCATGGAACCAGGTTTTAGATTTTGTCTCAGGGAAGCCTTTTTGTCTTCCATGGCTATAGTATCAAGTTGKCATAAATAGCTTTTTGTTCTTCTAAAGGTCCCTTCCAACCTTAAGAATTCTATGATTCTTTAAGGAMTGGGAGAGGTCTAGTACTATATTGCAAAGTACAAGTCTTTGAGTGAGTAAAAAGCCTAAATACTACTTGAGGTTCTGTACCTCTCTGGTGCGGGAATTTGGGGATGCTGAAGAGTTTAAAACTCCTAGTTTTTCTGCTATGAATTGCATCTAATTTATCTCTACGTATAGTTCCTCTATCTCCTTTTCATTTTCTCCATTTTATCTCCTTAACTAGAAAAGCAACTCTTCTTGAAACACACAAGCTGTATTTCTCCCTGAGAATGGAAAATAAAAATGGGATAGGACTTTGAGGGGGTGGGGAGTAGACTGAAGTAAGATTTCATGAAGGAAATAAGCACTGCAAGACACAGAAGTTACAATGTGCCTCTGTAGCCTGAGCGGGAACAGAACTGCTCATTTCCAAAGCCTGAAATGGTAGCTTTCCTCAGGAGAGGAGAATAAGAAATATCTGAGAATTGCAGAGGGATTTCACTTTGGGCTAAAAGTAACAGAAATAGAAGAGTATTATTGGAAATATCCATCAGGGGATCCTGATAGCATCACTACTTTAACCACTTGTGGTGTTCATCAACCAATACATAATTGCTCATGAAACAACGGTGATTTGTACACCATGTTCCCCTTGCATCCTMGGATTTGATGTGAGAGGAACCCTGAGGTTTTTCTATGAGGTTCTTAGCACTTATATTTTTGATTCTGGTCTTGAAATATAAAGACAAAACCCAGCCAACTTTCAGCACTTTCCATTGGTGTCTTGATGTTTTGGGGTTGAGCCAAGATCCAGAAGCTCAGAGGCCAGCAGAAATGTAACACTGAGGATATGCCAGAGGCTTGAAAAAGTATTAGATTAACTCGAATGCTAGGAAAGGGGCTGTTCTGTCAAAGTGAAATGGAGCATCCTTTTCCCTGGGATCTGTCACATCCTGACAGTCTGTCAATTAAGGGTACGTTCCCATCCGAGGGTCACCACAGGAATGTTGCTTTTGGAAAATTTAGTGACCAGTTTCTAGCTGGGGGTGGCCAAAAAGGTGCTTTTATCTGAGCAGACTGGTACAAAATGGAAACAGTTGCCTTTAATGAAGATGTTTAARAGATTCTTAACAAAAGTATTGCTCTAAGGAGAAAAAGGAGTGTCTTGTGATTTTTATTTATTTATTCCTCCTCACAGGTAGGAAACCTTTTATGGCCCATGAACTTCTCAGGAGTGGCACATTTTTCAGGTGGTCTGATTGTCAGATGCCTGATTTTGATGGATGACGCTAAGCACAGACATAATCACTATCTTGGTCTCAGAACCAGCCAGTAAGATATGTTAAGATTTTCCAAATGTTTCTCCAACAATAAAAGGAAATGTAAAGTTAATCAAATTGTCATGAGAGATCAGAGCCCAGCAAGGAGGGAGTAAGACTGACATTTGAAGTAGAAGTACTAATAAAACAGACGGCTGCTTGCCGCTCCTTTCAGTGCTTGTGTTTAATTTAAACGAGTTAACGATGAAGCAGCTTGCAGAGGAGGGGTAGGCGAGCTGTCGAAATCGATGCATGTGCACACCACTTAAAGAAAGCAGAGAAGTGGCAAATCTCTTGCTGCGTGTGAGTATCGTGCCTCAGASGAAAGGTTCTGCTAAGGGCTCTGCTGTCCTGTTGGAAGCAACAGGCTGCTCGGCTCCCTTCTCTTCTCTGCCTGTGACTACTTGCAGCTAGATGGGAGCTGGATAAAGTTAACCACTGGTGCCTAAGTGCTTGGGATTAATTTACTTCATTCTGCTCAGGCAAATCAACTCCAACCCCATAAACACAATTGAAATAGATTTAAAAAAAAAAGGGGGGGGGGTCACCTCATTTCTAACTTTCTAATTAGTTGTCTCTGATATTCTGTGTCACTTTAGCAGGTATTTCCTCTCTGAAAATCTCCTTCCCTGCAAGTGTGCTGCATTCGGAAGTTCTGTTGTGCTCCTTGGAGAAGTTAGCTGCCGTTCCTAGAGCCATGCAGCTGAGTGCTGTGGTCTGACTCTTCCGAGTGCTGGAGATGCAACAGTTTGTCAAGGTGACTTTTGTGCTGASCTGGATTTTTACGTGTCAAAGTGCTTTCTCCATTCATCTGCGTAGCCAGTGCAGTTGTAGGGAAATAACTTAGATTATTTCCTTTCCTTAGGTGCAAGGTAACACTGGGAAGTGAAATCTTGCCCTCTTCAGGATACTAATCGCCACTCAGCTCCCACTCCGTGCTCTCTTATCCTGGAAACCTTTTTGCCCACAGCAGGAACACGTTATCCTGAAAGCCACGCATCCATTTCACACAGGAACTCTTCAGCCRCCATCGGCTGGCAATGGATTTCAGCCTGCGCTGCCCTGCAGGCCTAGCAGCCTGGAGATGAGGCAGCTCTGCTTCCCATTACCCATCTCTGCGCCTTGTCCCGCTTCCCGAGGCCTCGCATTAGGTCCGGCCTTGCGGGGAGGTCAGCGCAGGCCTGTGGGCCATGCAGCTGGGCCGGGGGGACGCGCCGCCCGCCTCCGGGCCCCATGGCAGCCACCRCCGCCACCCCACAAAGCGGTGACCCCTGCCCGCGGCCTGCTCGTGCGCTGCCCCGCGGTTCCTGCCTTTATCAGATTAACTTTAATTAGTGAAATCAGAATCACATGCAGCACAGAGGAAGTGCTCCAAAGGCTGCGGGTTTGTTTTCAGATGAGGAAAAAGCGAGGTGCGCTCGGAAGGGCTTGGATAAGGTTTTSTCTGGAAAAGTGCATATGTGCGTGTGAAAGCACTGAGGGGCCGCAAGTGTGCGGCAAGGCGAGAAAGAGTCTCCGTTTGTGAGATTTTTGCATATGAGAGATCTGTACCCTGGCCTAAAGCATATATTTATCTACACACTTGCATGGAAGAGTCCGGAAATGTCTGTGTTACTGTCTTGTGGGGAGTCTGAACCACCGGCTACAGGATGGTTCCTCAGCCAGCATCCCCAAATCCCCAGGAGCTGGTCTGTGCAAGGACTGCTGAGCATCCACGTAGCTGTGTGCCCCAAGCACGGGGAAAAATGAAAGCTGTAAACCCTTTTTACTTGGTTGTATGGCAGCATGCACAGGGTAATCTGTGGGAAACTTTTCAGAATTTGTTGGATTGAGGAAGCTTGGAACACATAGAGCTGGAGCACGGACCTKTGACTACGATGATACGAGTCTGCTCCTAGTGCCCTGAGCCCTTCTCCCTGGAGAGAGCATCTGGGCCCACAGGGCACGACCAGTGCCCATTAATGCCTCAACACTGCGTGTGTCTGGCTAGGAGGGCACAGGGGCCACCAGGTGCCRTCACCATCTTTCCTCCTTCATCTTACAGCTTTGCCTGCCCTGATATGAAAACTCCAAGTTGTTTCMCTGTTCCTCCCCTTGCCCATTTTGGGGCAGGAACTGTTTCTCATTGCATGTATTTTCAGATATGATATTTTCAGTCATGAGCAGACATGTGGCCCCTGGTTGCTACAATGATAAGAGTTTGTCTGTGTGTCATCTTGGGAATTCTTCCATCTAAATGAATTCYTCCTTGCTGTTGGCCAAACTCTGCTTTTGGCTGAGATTTCTACATTCTGTTCCATCATAACTTCTCTACGTTAGCTCAGGTGGTCAGTCGGTATCTCTGTGCCCAGCTTTCCCTGGGTATTTCCTGGACTGAGTTACTGTCTCTGAGTAAATGGAAGGGCCTCTACATGAAAGATGGAACCTGTGTCACTGCTTTCACTAAAGGCAAACACATCTAGGGAATCAAAACTCCAGAGTGCTGAGCTTCTCCCTGCCCTTCTCCCCCTCAGAAGACTAACATTGATGAGAACATCCTTCAGTGCTCTCAACCTCTATCAAAGCCTGTAAGAAAATAAATCTGCCTGCATCTCTTTTTGCATAGCCGCATGTCTTTGCGCATATATCTGATGTTTCATCTGTCTGCCTGCTGGCACCACTGTCTGGCGTGTGTACTGGAATGAAGTGCCGTAATCCTGCCCTGCTTCTCCCTCTCCCAACACACTTTGCTAACTCCGTGGTGCTGCAGCACATGCTGCCCTGCTCGGAGCTGCTGCTCCGTGGCTATCRGCATCCCCTCCTCAACCTCGGGCGCTTGTCCCCCACGGTGCTTCCAGGGCAGGGAGGGAAACAATCAGATGGCTGGAAAGAAGCTGAGTTTTATTTTTTCTTTTTTTTTTTTTCCAGCAGGTCCAGTTAGTGAAGCAGATCTGAGTAAAGTCTAGCAAAAGGGCGAACGCTGTAGATGGATGTTAGCAGGCAGCCGCCCTTGACAACGTTTAGAGTAATTCGTGAGACCTCTAGTGGCTCTTGCTGCCTGGCCCAGCACCCGGCCGCGCTGGTGGAGTGGGAGCACAAGCGGTCCAGAATCCGCTGCCTGCACTGTTCCTCCCTGTGTTGTAGCAGCAGCAGAAGACAGCAGCCCATAAAACTAAACAAATGCTTCTGCTACTGAGCAGCTGTGGCTTTTCCCGGCCACACAGCACCACCAAAATCCTCTCGGACAGAGTCTCGGGGCTCTGGCATGCGATGGAGCTGTCACAGCTTAGCAATTTACTGTGCCCCAAGTAGGCACCAACCCTTTGGGTGCTCTGAGCCCACAGCAGATCCAGAGAAGCAGCTGGTTGAGTGTCTGTGCAGGGAACAAAGTGRGTACCCGCTGGCTCATTCCTGTGCTGGATGCACACGTTTGATTGGGAAGGCTCCGTCGATGTGTGGCTACGGCAGCACACATCTGAGCCCTCCATGTGAGTTCCTCAGTACATAAGCCCATGACCCTTTTATGCTTGCTTTTATTAAGGTGGTTTGTGGGCCTCTCACAGGTGTATCTCATATAGGAGTGTAGCAAAGTGCCTCTGGGTTCTCCTAGAAATAGGTTCCAGATGTACTGGACTGGAGCTTCCCTTTAAAGGAAATGTGTGTTTTCAGGTAGGACCCAGCCTATAAAATCTCAAAATAATTCCTAGCCTGATGAACAAAAAGCTTTACTGCAACTTCTGCCTTTTCTCACCTTTTTGTTTCCTTCCAGCCTTTCTGTAATAAGCTGATGTGAATTCTTAATCTCTTGCTATCATCCTTGAGCGTATAAGGTTCCAATTTTCCTTTGTTGCTGAAAGCAGCTTCCATCAATGTGTCTCTGTCCATGTATTTTAATGCCTTTTTCTTTCCCTGTGTGCTGAGACACCCCCTCTGTACCCTTCTCCTGCCATGTGTTAGTGATGATTGAAATCATCTTTTGCTTCTTGTGCAAACAAACTGATTTTTTGCTCTATTCAGAGTTCTCCTTGACACGCTTCTGACAGCAATATCAAATAGCATGGATTTTAGATTATTTTTATGATGTGCATGACTTTGATATTGAAATTTGATCTGGTATCCTAATGTATCATGTGCATGAAATGTATCTTGTRCTTAATATGAACTGCTCAGGCGGCAAGTCTTCCTGCAAGAGCTACGTAGCTCTTGATAAACAGTTCCCAAGCCCTCTGGCACTTTGACTATTGAGGATGCTCCTCCAGCTCTGTTAACACCATGCAGAAGTTACAGAACTGGATTTGMAATTTTTCTCCTGGCCTTGAAAGCAGGGTTTTGAATGTGTTTTCGCATCACAACAAAAGGCCCTTCTCCCCTTGTGGCCTTTGTGCTGGGAGAGCAGGGCTGGGAGGTGCTGCTTGACCCATCCATGCCCATGACAAAGGGGCATTAACACTTCTGTGTGTAGGGATAACATTGATAATGAGTAAATGCCATCCTTTTACTAGAAAAATCCAACCCATCAGTTCCTCAGTGTCCCAYGCTACCTTCCCTGTTTTCCCAGCTACCAAATGCTCCTGTTTCTTGAAGYTGGACTTCTTAACTTTCCAGTTTTTACCCTAACCAGTCCTGCAGCACCACTGCAATGGTAACACAGGAATCTCTGAATGTAAGGGCGAAGGAAAAGGAATGTAGCTTAATATCCAAACAATTAGCACAAGGGTTATTGTGCTGAAGGCATTATTCATTTCCAATTATCTGAAGCTGCTGAAAAATTCCTAGGCCTCCCTCCAAAGGGGTGCATGAATCAAGGCCCACACACAGAACGGTAGCATGTGGCCAGGCAAGGGGAGAAGCTGTTGGCCCGCTTTCTTGCAACGTTTCTCATCCCTAATCTGGGCCTTGTTGCAGCAGTGGAAAGGCAGGCGCCTGCAGCGCCTGTTTGTTTCTGGTAGGCATATTCTTGATTTCACAGAAGTAAGGTAATGAGGAGGAAGGAAACAGGAAACATATGTCAAATTGCATTGCAAAATGTGGGCTGCATTCCCTCTGATATAAACAAAAGGGGGAAAAAAGATAATAGTAATAATAATGATAACTTCTGAGCCATATTTTGGGGTATGAGGAGAAGTGGAAATCAATTTTCCATTTGAAAAGGTCTCCTCGACCTCTAAATGTTCCTGGCAACAAGATTCATTAGACTTTGATCAGGGTTTGACTGCCAGTCACCTCTCGTAGCACGCAGGTCTCTGGGCAGGCAGATCTGCCTTCGCCAGCTATTAGCGTGTTTTGCTCTTGGAAGGTGAGCGGCAGAGCTCCGCCGGCTGCAGGGCTGCCTTTTCCCAGGGAGCTCTTTGCCGTGCCCTCCACCCATCACTGCCCCAGTTCCAAGTGAAATTATGGTCCTGAGAACTGCTGCAACTTTGGTCTGTATAAATAACTGCAATGCATTTTGTTAGTTTTAGTAATASCAGGCCCTTTCTCAAGTCTGACTGAAACAAATTCCCATCCTCTTTTGTTCCTTGGAGTTAAAACATGCACATAAAAGTGATCAGCTCTCTCCACTCCTCTGAGTTAACATCCTACTATGTTCTTTAACCAGAGCATTCTTTATTTTAGATGACCTTCTCGCTGTCCCCAGTGCTTTGAAGATCGTGTCCAGACATCAGAAACTATATATTAAAAACTAACATTTTTCTTTTCAGTAACTTGTCCAAGACCTGTTATATGATGTAATGGGGTTGAGATGCAATATGTAAATCTGAAAAAAGGAGTGAGTTTCATGCTTAACTGTGAGTGTCAGGGGCTCTGTCATTTGTCACGGTCATCTTGAGCAGAAGACAGAATGTGCTAAGGTGTGACTTAAGCTGATTTGAAAACATATAACACTTGYCCTGCTTTAGATCAGTCTCTTTTTCTTGATTTTATGGTTGTCAGTCAGGAACAGGCAAAAGCTAAGGGAAAAATACACATCCATTTAGCAATTTTCTCTAGCTTAGCAGAATAGTGCTGCGGTATGTACGGGTTAAAGTGATGCACAGTTAGATATTAGACAGTGCCTTATATTTTAGTAAAGAAAAGAGCAAGGTGTAAGAGACATGGCAAAATTCCACAGAACAAGGAAATGGATGTGACTCTAGGGAAGGCTCTAGGTGTCTGTGTGTTTCCTTCAGAAGTCACATGAACCTTAGTCTCAGGACCATTTCCCAGTCCAGTTGGTGCCAGGG